AAAAAAAAAAAAAAAAAAAAAAAAAACCCATTGAATGAAATAAAAAAATCCAAATGCCCGACGAGGCATAAAAAAAGAAAAGGCAAATGGGTATGTAAGAAAGCAACGATTAATCAGGGTTTATGCGAGATACCTGTGCCCATAAGTTCGTCAAGCAGAGAGGGAAATTCAGAAGGGTTTGAATTTGAGAAATAAATAAAAACAGAGAAACAATTTTATTTTTTTTTTGGTGAAATGGGGGAACAGAGAAACAATTTTAGTTGGAGAGGGAAGGGTATCAATGCACCACCATTGTTTGCTTCGCGGTCTTTTTTCGGAGAATTCTCCCGTGCTTTTTTCTTATTTTATTTTCTTAATTATATCCTTTTTTTTATTTTAAAAAAGGTGATTATTTCTTATTGGCTTTTTATCACAAAACATCCCTACGTTTACGAAACTATCAGATTGCATCCTTAAAGTTTTTTTGTATCACTTATGGTCCCTAACGTTAATATGGGTGCTCTTAAATGGTCCCTCCGTCAAAAAAATCGTTAAATCTCCAATTTTATGAGGGGTATAATCGTCAGATCAACTCACTTTTACTTTGACCCAAAAAAAAACTCACTTTTACCTCTCACAATTCAAATATATTTCCTCTAGGTCGTCGTCAACATCATCAGACCCATTTCTATGCTTTTTCTTTGAAATAAGGTTTTTCAGTCGTGGGAAATTGGGCGGTAAAGCTCATCTGCAAAAGTGATTGAGAGAAGATGGATGAGGCAAATGAAAACTATCGAAAAGGGGGAAAGGCTCCAACGTATAAAGGTAAGAATCTTTTGAAGAGTGAAAAAGCAAAGTGTTCATATTTGACTATTTGCTTCTGATGAGAATTTTTATGCTTTAACCTGTGGCTTTATGCTTTGGGTGTGGTCCATATTTGACTAGTTTGTGTCATATTCAAACATGGGGGTTTGTTTATTGTTTTGTTGCTTTGGTACTTTGGCTGTTGTCAGTGTGTGGTTGTGGTTTGTCATATATGGTTTGTTTTCATGTGGTTGGTGTACGTATTTATTATAGAAAGGCTTTGAAATAGGTAATGAAGGAAAAAAAACAGACTTCAATTCTTGGGATTAATTGTTTGTTCTGGCAGATCCTGACAAGCTTACTCTTGAGATTCACTATGGAGGTACACTGATGCAAGTAGCTGTCGGAAAAGGGGATGAATATTGTGGAGGGGAGGTTGTGTGTCTTGACAATATAGATGGAGATAAATTATCGTGGATTGAGCTGGTTAGGATTGCAAAAGAAATAGGTTATACAGGGGAGAACATATGCTTTTACTACAAGTTGCCTCGTGATAAGGATTACAAATTAATAGGTAATGATAAAAATGTGTTGCAGATGGTTGCAGAAAGGCCTAACAGCAAAATTATCCCTCTATATGTTGTTTCATTTGATGTGGCACTTTATGAGTTGTCATGGCAAGGTCAGCATGGGGATTTACTAAGTGAAACAGCAAGTGGCACCTACAAAGAAGCTGAAGGTCAGAACGGGGAATATGAAGGGCAAAATGAGGGACAAGATGGTAATGGTACAAAAAATGGAGAAGTTAATATGCAGGAAGAAAGGGAAAGAGCTGGGAATGCTAGTGAAAATGAAGAGAGTGATGAAGAAGATGATACAGAGTTCATAGATAGTGACTATGAGCAAGACACAGATGCAGAAGAGGTGGAGGTTGATGATACAATGTTTGAGGAGTGCATTGACAATCCAATTGAAGAAGAGCCTGAAGAAATGGGTTATGCAGGGGAGATTTCAGATGATGTCCAGAATTCAGAAGATCTTCATAGCAAACAAGACAATGATGACGAGTGTGATGAGAATGGTGAAGTCACCAGCAATAGGAGGAAAAGAAATGTTCCAAACTTCAGACAATGGAGGAGAGAAGCTATGCTAAAAAATCCAACCTTTGATATTGGGATGCACTTTGCCAACAAAACAGTATTTAAAGAGGCTGTGCAACACTATACTTGCATGGTAGGGAAGAACATATGGTTTAAAAAGGATGACAAACAAAGAGTAAGGGCTGCATGTGAGGTGGGCTGCCCTTTTGTGATATTTGCTTCGAGAATTGATGACTCACCAACAATGGTCATCAAAACCTTGAATTTGGAGCACGAGTGTTCAAGGGATCAGAGAAATTATTGGCTGAATTCTACTTTTTTTGCTCAAAGGTATGCAAATGAGTTAAGGGCTGATCCGGATTGGTCAGTTCCTGGATTTACAGCTGCAATTCAGAGAGATTTTGGCTTGGAGCCGAGTATGCAACAAATATATAGAGCTAAGCTGAAGGCAACGAAGTTAAACAAAGGTAGTTTTGTTGAGCAATTCCACAAGCTGCACGATTACTGTGAGGAATTGAAGAGGGCAAATCCAAGAAGCACAGTTTTGCTTAAAACTGAGTTGGATGGTGATCAAAGAAGGTTTCATAGGCTGTATATTTGTTTGGAAGCATGCAAGACTGGATTTTTGCAAGGTTGTAGGCCTGTAATTGGTATGGATGGGTGTTTCATTAAGGGACCACATCCTGGTCAGTTATTGGCAGCAGTAGGGATTGATGGGAACAATGGAATGTTCCCGCTAGCTTATGCTGTTGTAGAGATAGAGAATAAAGAGACATGGGACTGGTTCATAAGAAATCTGATGGCGGACTTAGCCATTGAAAATGGACATGGTTATGCTTTCATTTCAGATAAACAAAAGGGTTTAGGACTTGCCCTTGGTGATTTACTTCCCAATGCAGAACATAGGCATTGTGTCCGTCATTTTTACAACAATTTCAAGACTTCACATAGTGGCCTGACATTGAAACAACTTATGTGGGATGCAGCTAGGGCAACAACAATCCCTTGGTGGCAATGCCATATGGAGAGGATGAAGCAAGAGAGTGAAGTTGCTTGGAAGTGGTTGCACCCAAAATCTGCAGTTCATTGGAGTAGATCACACTTTAGAACCCAGTATAAGTGTGATATTTTGCTGAATAATCTTTGTGAGGCTTTCAATTCTTCAATATTAAAGGCAAGGGACAAGCCAATTCTTTCAATGCTTGAGGGTATAAGGACAAATCTCATGGTGAGGATGGCAAACAGGAGGGTTGCAGCTTGGAAGTGGAAAAGGCATGTTGGTCCAAGGATTGAACAAATTATGGAGAAGAACAAGCTGGAGGCTGGTTATTGTATTCCTACTTTGTCTGGGGATATGAAGTATCAAGTCACAAATATGCATGGGGGGCAATTTGCAGTGGATCTTGCAATAAAAACATGCTCATGTAGGAGATGGGATCTTTGTGGGCTCCCATGTCCACATGCAATCAGTTGCATTCTTAGAAGGAAGCATGACCCTTACTCATATGTAGATGAGTGCTACAAAAGGGAAGCTTATCTTAAGTGCTATAACCCTATTATTTCTCCAGTGCCTAGCATGGATCAGTGGCTAAGCACTGGTCCTCACCCATTGTTGCCTCCTCTATTTAAGAAGCAAACTGGGAGGCCAAGAAAGAAAAGGGCTAGGGAGCAGGGTGATCCACCAGCTGCAACCAAAGGAAACAAACTATCTAAGTGGGTTCATGACAAATTTAGTTGCAGCAAATGTGGCCAAGCTGGCCATAATAAGAAAACATGTGGCAAATCAACAAGTCAACAGGTATATTATATTCTTACTTCAAGGAATTATATTATTCATTTGCTTATTGATTAATTACTAAAATTCTTCATATGCTTTGCAGCCTCCAAGTGCCCAAGTGGTCCCTAAACCTAGACAAAGGAAACCAAAACTTAAGGTTTTACAAAATCGTTGTATTGTGATTAAAATAGTTCTAATTATTGTATTATAGTTTGACTTTAATTGTTGTCTAGGTGGCAAGAGGAGGGAGGAAAATACAGCAATCAAGGTCAAACTCTAATGCTCCAACGGGAACAAGTATTTCACAACCTTCTCTAGCAGTTGTCAGGTTTTCACAACCCTCTCCAGCACCTCAAGTGGCATCACAACCTCCTACTGCACACAATTCTTCATCCCAGCAAGCCTCAACATCACAAACTGTCCAAAGAAGGAAATTAAAGTCTCCAGCAAAGAAAGGAAGGCCATGGAGAGTTTGAGATGATGTTTTATGGAACTGTAATTGGAAGTGGTCTAAGGTTTTTGATGTATGATATTGTTTTTTGATGGAAGCTTTCTAGGGGTTAAAGTGATGGAACTGAAAGTGGTTTTTGATGGAAGTGGTCTAGGATTTTTGTATGTATGGAAGTGAAATCCTACTTTCTGACCCAAAAAAAAAGGAAGTGATTTTTTATGGAAGTCATGTAGGGGTTAATGTGATGGAACTGAATGTGGTTGATGATGTAATTGAAAGTAGTTTTTTATGTATGGAAGTGGTTTTTGATGTATGCAGTTGGTTCAATTTGTTCATAGTGGTTGGTAGTTTAGTTTATTCAATTTGTTCAACGTGAGTTGTTTATAGTCCAATTTGTTTTTGTTATTCCCTTTCATTTTTAGCGCTTTTAGCATGTGAAAATGAACAGCAGCTTTAGTTGCCCGCCAATTCCAATAAGAAATGGAGGGAAATGGTTCCAAATTGGTGGCAAATAGGTCTAAGGCATTGAAGAGGTCAAAGGGATTGATTTGACGATTATATCCCTCATAAAATAGGGATTTAACAGATTTTTTGACGGAGGGACTATTTAAGAGCACCCATATTAACGTTAGGGACCATTTGTGATACAAAAAAACCTTAAGGATGCAATCTGATAGTTTCGCAAACGTCAGGGACGTTTTGTGATAAAAAGCCTTTCTTATTTGTGAATTGAAGTTTTTATTATTATATAGAATTGATAGTCTAAACTACAACACGCTACCAACGAAGGGCATATTTGGGACTGCTTCTCTAAGAAGCACTTTTAGAAGCGCTTATATTATAAAGATGTTGAAATTTTTCTAAGAAATCGAAGTACTTTTAGTGTTTCCTAAAGAAACATATGATAGGTTCTTCTCCGAAAAGCATTTCTATGTCCTATGCGAATTTCTAAACTTTTCTATCAAATGCTCTTAGAAGGGCCTTTGGTTGTCTGAAAGCACTTTTAACCCTTTTAGAAGTACTCCCAAACGAGCTGAATTGTTTTGGAGTTTTAATTTTTGTTTTATAAATTTAATTTTCATCTTTATAATTGTTTAATAAATTATCAATTTTCTATCAATTTTTTCCTTGAGGTAGAGACCACTTTAGCATAAAAAATGAGACTCACATAACTTACAGGAGTTTGTATATACTTTTGTAAATTATCGATTTAGGGATTATTTGTGATTTGCTGAAAGAAAATTTGGATATATATATTTTTGTTTCGAAATAAAATTTGGGTTTGTATGCTAGTTATATACAGTTGTACTATACAGGAGAAAATAGGTACAACTTTATCCTTTCCTCGCATCTTCCACACTATCGACCCGATCTCTCTTCTTCTCCCTCCCTCTCTCATACACCTCACGGCCCGCCTGAATTTATCTCAGGTAATCTCTTAGCCACCAAATTTATTTACGCTATCGTTTTACATCTGGTGTTGTTTCAGTTTGGATTATATCTGCCTGAGATCGTGGCTTCCATAATTTCGCAGTTGAGAGAGGTTGTTTTGTTTTTTCTTTTTCTTTCCAGATTTGTTAGCTTTTCGTTTGACACCAATGAACAAAAAATCTATTGATTCCATGTTTTTAGGTTTATGTGTTTTGATATGATTTTTGGTTGGATTTCTAAAATCGCCTTCTCAGTGCTAGATTTGGTCATTTGTTAATACATATATATGCGTTGTGCTGACCCAGTTTAGGTTTTACCATTATTAACGTCCTAAAATTCGAGTGATTGAAACTCAACTCAGCCGAACTTAAGTTGTTGATTGGTAAAAGGCTTTTTGTATCTATGAATCCAATCACACTTAAACTTTGAGGTCTAAATTTTTGTTTCTTTTTTATTTCAGCAACCAAAAGGCATAGAATAATGGTTTTTGTACCAGTTAAATTGTAGTAGGCACAAATGACAAGTATATTGATGGGCTCTAGTTCTGTACATTGTAAATTATACTGTTTAATGTAGTCAGTGAGAACACATATTTGTCCTGATAGTTTGTTTTCTCCTTGATGTAGTGGATATCAACTTAGAATGGCTGGCAGAGCTCATATCCCCACTAAGAGCTCAGCACTCATTGCCATGATTGCTGATGAGGTATGGATAATGTTGTTCTGTAATTCTTTTGGTTGAAATAGTTGTTGCAGTCTTGATTTGTCTTCCTGATGAGATGATTGTTATTATGTAGGACACTGTAACTGGATTTTTGCTGGCTGGAGTGGGTAACGTTGACTTGCGGAGAAAGACAAATTATCTTATTGTTGATTCAAGTACGTTTTGAGCTTTTTTGATGCTTGAACTTTGGAACTTCATCCATACTGGTAATCTGTTTCTATATGTTTGTATGCATAGGTCATCAGGTGGACTAAAATGCCAATTATGGTATATGATTAGTAATCTATTTGTAAGAATATTTTACGAACTAATCCAGTGGGTAAATGAAATAGGGGGGCCTGGGAAGGGGAAAGGAAACTACAAACTTCTAGGAGATGTATTCTAGGTAAAAGACTATTATCTTTTTGTTGAGAAGTTGCTCTATTGTAAGTATTGTTGCAGTTTATCGATGGTATAAGTTTTCGTTTTCTTGTTTATCAAAGAAAAGCAAGCAAATTAGGCTACAATTCATTAGTGAAGAAAGGTATAATATTTACATTTTGGTCAGTTAAATTTGGTCTGCTGTGACAGTCCTTTGAAGTTCCCTTAAATTTAACGAGTATCACAACACTTTAAATTAAACAACTTGGTCCCTTAAATGAAAAGTTTAGTTTCTTTTCTGTTTTTGGTGTGAAAAACTTAGCTATGAATTCAAATTAATACTTGAAGCAAGGTTCAGTCTCTGGTGTTTTTTTTTGTTTGTTTTTTTTTGTCTAATAGTATTTGTTTTCTGGTTTTCTGCTCAGAAACAACAGTGAAAGCAATTGAAGATGCATTCAAAGAGTTTACAACAAAGGAGGATATTGCAATTGTCTTGATCAGCCAATATGTAAGTTCTTTCTCATACGTTGAAGTTCTTCAACTGTTATGATTAGAGGACTTTTCTGGTCCGCAAGGCAATATCCTTATTGCCGTCCAAGTGGTTGCAATACATATTAGAATTTATAGCATTCTTTGTGTGCATTCCTTCCAAATTGGTTGTTAGTTGAAGATTATTTGAAAAGGAAATGACCATTTTCTACGCTTTTCTTACCAGGTTGCAAACATGATAAGGTTTCTAGTTGATAGCTACAATAAGCCAATTCCAGCTATTTTGGAAATCCCTTCCAAGGATCATCCCTATGACCCTGCTCATGATTCAGTTCTTTCAAGAGTGAAGTACCTCTTCTCTAGCGAATCTGTGGCATCAGGAAGGCGTTGATCATCAAGTAGTTTCATGTGTTTTGCTCAATAAGTATTGCATTGCTTTTGATACCATGTATGCTTTTCCCTTTGTTCACACCAACTGCTCTGTTACTGACCCACAGACGGTTGGTATATATGTGTACGTATATTAGTTTCCTTTTGTGCGTAAATTTACAATGCAAATTAAATCTCATGTTATTTAATAGGAATAAATCTCATGTTATTTAATAGGAATAAATCTCATGTTATTTAATAGGAATAAATCTCATGTTATTTAATAGGAATAAATCTCATGTTATTTAATAGGAATAAATCTCATGTTATTTAATAGGAATAAATCTCATGTTATTTAATAGGAATAAATCTCATGTTATTTAATAGGAATAAATCTCATGTTATTTAATAGGAATAAATCTCATGTTATTTAATAGGAATAAATCTCATGTTATTTAATAGGAATAAATCTCATGTTATTTAATAGGAATAAATCTCATGTTATTTAATAGGAATAAATCTCATGTTATTTAATAGGAATAAATCTCATGTTATTTAATAGGAATAAATCTCATGTTATTTAATAGGAATAAATCTCATGTTATTTAATAGGAATAAATCTCATGTTATTTAATAGGAATAAATCTCATGTTATTTAATAGGAATAAATCTCATGTTATTTAATAGGAATAAATCTCATGTCATTGTTGATCTTGATGAGAGTATGGTTTTGTTTATGGAAGCTCTCATATAAGTAGAATTACAGAACAATGTCAGAAAAGTTGACGAGAAACTTTACTCTCTTTTTTTATCAAAACCATTTAATATGCCTTTGTCAAATGATATTTCCTATTATTTCTCAACCTCAAACTTTCACGTTAGTTTTTTGAAGTTTCCTCAACATGTTCCTACCGCAATTTGAGCAACCCAAACAATTAATTTGAGAATTTTTTTTTTGGTTAAATACTTTTTGGGTTACTGAGTTTTACACGAAAATTCAATTTAGTCACAGAGAAAAAAATTTAGCCAAATTGATCACTGTGTTTTCCAAAGTTTACAATTTATAGACATTTCGTTATCTTTCATTAAGTGCAGTTTTTATTTTTATTTTTATTTTTTCAGGAAGCACCTTCAATCTTCTTCCTATAACTCAACGAATTAGGAAAATCAAAAGGTCAAACCAAATTAAAATGAAATCTACAACTTACCAATATATTTTGGTGCTCTATCACCTTGAAGAAAATAATTGGATGGTGAAAAGCTCATGCTTTGAAGGTGGAACTTAACGGAAGATAACGAAATGTCTATAAATTGTAAATTTTGGGAAACACAGTGACTAATTTGCCTAAATATTTTTCTCAATGACCCAATTGAATTTTCGTATATAACCGAATGACCAAAAAGTATTTAACCCTTTTTCTTTTGTCAAAAGGTTCATTTCCTTGAGTTCTAATGAGCAAATAGAATTTGTAACTTGGACGGTCATGATCTGTCAATGGATTGGATTTTGATATGAATTCGATCCAAATCCGGTGTAATTAATAGGAGATGGATTGAACTTCTTAATTCGATAATCCGATTACAATGTGAATTTAATAATCCGATTATAAATAGATCCGGATATGGATTATAGTTGATTTGATCCGATAATAATTCGATCCGACTTTGTATGAAGTATAATTTAATTTTTGTATGCTTTATATTAGTATTTTATATGTGTAAATGAGTCATTTTAGTTTTATATGCACTAAGAATACACTTAAAACTATTTTTTATTATAAAATATCAAAAAATTGATATAAAAAGCAAATAAATACAATAAAAGAACAAGGCTACTAATGAAATTTTGATTTTTTGTACATCTCAAAATAAATCCAATAATAATATGATCCAATCCGAATCCGATAATCTGAATATGATAATTTAATTATAAATGAATTTGGATTTGAATTGAGGTATATCCGATATTCGATCAGTTTACACGACTCTCAAACCTGTCCAACCCACCATGCCATTTTCTAACTATTTCTAATTGTAGTTCTTTCAGTAGATCAAAAATTAATCTCGTTCAAACGCTTAACAACTAGCTCGAGCCTAATACACGATATATTTCAGAATTCAAACAATTAATTTTTCATGTAATAATTCGAAGATCATTCCTACAAAGTTATTCCTACAAAGTTTTATCCAAATCAAAAATCATATAGCCAGTTGGTATTATTGTGAACAATTTTTTATTTATCGAAATTATTGTGTTTGTCTTTTTATTTGGTAACTGTTAGATAACTAAATGTTTTTTTATTCGAGTGAATTTTTCGTAGAGATCATCATTGATTCGATGATGATCTAAGAAATAAATTATGTGATTAGAGCCACATTAACTCACTAATTAGTGTTCTTGAGCAATTACGCGAATGATGTGTATTGTGATTCTCCAAATAAAGAGAAAAGAACTCACAAATTCACTATTTTGTTTTAAAATTAGATCCTCACCGTCCGTTTGATCCAACAGGCAGTAAATCTCCTCCGCATCTTCTTCTTGTGTTTTTTTTTCCTAACTCAGCTTAGAATCGAATATCAAAGTGATTATCTCATTCCCAATTTCTGACGTCGATGAACTCACAAATTCAAAGTGCACTACTTTGTCAGTGATTACTAACAAGTTCCCTGTTCTTTGAGCCCTACAATTACAAACGGCACGTAATTCCTTCACACAAACGGTAACATCTTCAAAACCCTAAGCCCTAATTCGTTCTCAGGTATGAAATTGAAGCACTCAATCATCCTCTAATCTAATGGCTTCCATTTCGACTCTCCAAGTCCTTCCCTTTCCGGTATGTTTCTGAAGCTTTTTCAATCATTGCAACAAATAATTACTATTAGTTCTATTCACTGATTTGATTCTGAATCATAGCTCTCACATTTGGTCTCAAAGCATCGAACCCCTTCCCTCCTGCTGAAGCTTAGACCCGAATTCGGGTCAAGAAATGGTGAGCTCAGCTGGGCTGGACGATTAATATCCAGTCAGAGGTTTCTATTGAGAGCCATTGACGGCTCGGTTAGCTCCTCTGCTGGCCAAGACCACAGTCTCCGTAATGATGGGGTAGTGAAGAGTAAGAACAAAAATGGTATAAATCTCAAAGACCCTGTTGGCAAATTGCACGGAATTATCAGCTCCTTCTCTCCCGTCGTCTTCTCGGTAAGATTTTCATTTTTAATATTGGGGTTTCTGTGATGGAAATGTTGGAAAAAGTACTGGGTTTCTTTTTCCGGGTTTATTTCAGTGTCTGTACATTGGCTGGTTTATATATTTGCAATTTGCAACTGGGTTTAACTTTTTTTCTTCTTCTTTTTTTCGAATAATAATCAGATGCGGCAAAGAGAGGGATCCAATTTGGCAATTGGTTTATGTATTGCGGCTGCATTTTTGGTCATTGCTTTGAGAGTGTATGCGGTGAGGAAATCAAAGTACAATCGTCCTGGCTCTGTTGCTGATCTCGTTAGACGTGGCCAGCTTAGATCTGATAGAAGAGGCATGTATGATTCCGACCCTTTTTCTCGTTGTCTTTGTGTAGAATTGTTTAGGGCATAAGTTTGAAAACTTTCAAAAATTCTAAGTGTTTACTTACGTTTTGCCCTTTGCAAATGTTCGGTGCCCGTATTTCACAGTTCCCAGCCTCTCAAGTATGATGACCCATTCAATAATCCATTGGTTAAGGTTGGTAAAGGCAATTCAACTGTAGAGATGTGTGGAAAGGTTTATCGCCTAGCCCCAGTTACCCTTACAAAAGAGCAGCAAGCTGTCCATCAGAAAAGGAGATCACGGGCTTACCAGTGGAAGAGACCGACAATATTCCTAAAGGAAGGGGAATCAATACCTCCTGATGTTGACCCTGATACGGTTAGGTGGATTCCTGCCAATCATCCCTTTGCAACCACTGCCGGTGACATTGATGAAGACTTAGCACAAAACAATGTGTATCAGAAACATGGTGTTCCCTTTCGAATTCAAGCTGAGCATGAAGCACTGCAGAGGGTAAGCACTTGTAATACATTGCAGTTGTGAATAGAAAGGGAAAAAACCTTGCAATGATGTTCTACTTTAACAATTTCTAGCGGTTTTTATTTTTTGTAGGAGCAAAAGCTGAACAGGCTAGTGATGGACTCTAGCAATGATAGTGATTTTGTGAAAGCATTCAAGTCAGGTCCCAAGTCACCTGAGCACGGAGATTTTGGTTAAATACTTTTTGGGTTACTGAGTTTTACACGAAAATTCAATTTAGTCACAGAGAAAAAAATTTAGCCAAATTGATCACTGTGTTTTCCAAAGTTTACAATTTATAGACATTTCGTTATCTTTCATTAAGTGCAGTTTTTATTTTTATTTTTATTTTTTCAGGAAGCACCTTCAATCTTCTTCCTAAAACTCAACGAATTAGGAAAATCAAAAGGTCAAACCAAATTAAAATGAAATCTACAACTTACCAATATATTTTGGTGCTCTATCACTTTGAAGAAAATAATTGGATGGTGAAAAGCTCGGTCGCCCGCTGAGGAAACACATGATTGAATTTAATCGTTGCTTCTATTTCTATCATTGTGGATCATCAAATTACTCAACGAGGACAACTGGGACTCCGAGTTTTACTTAGCAGGTCCAGATATCGTATTGAATTGCAACCTTAAGTTTTGAAATATGATGTAGCTACTTGAGATATCCGGTTTAAAAAGTTCAGGTTGGGCTGTATATAGAGTCATGTAGTTCCATATCTTAAATATACTGTTTGTAGATGACAATTTAATACTCCAGAATGGTGTACCCCTTACTTTATCTGATATTTTTTTTTTTACTGATTTCAGTTCTTGATTAGACTGAAATTCAGTTAGTAGTTATCGTTAAACTGAATCGAACATAGAATTTGTAACTTGGACGGTCATGATCTGTCAATGGATTGGATTTTGATATGAATTCGATCCAAATCCGGTGTAATTAATAGGAGATGGATTGAACTTCTTAATTCGATAATCCGATTACAATGTGAATTCAATAATCCGATTATAAATGGATCCGGATATGGATTATAGTTTATTTGATCCAATAATAATCCGATCCGACTTAGTATGAAGTCTAATTTAAATTTTGTATGTTTTATATTAGTATTTTATATGTGTAAATGAGTAATTTTAGTTTTATATGCACTAAGAATACGCTTAAAACTAATTTTTATGATAAAATATCAAAATTTGATATAAAAAGCAGATAAATACAAGTGTAAATGAGTAATTTTAGTTTTATATGCACTAAGAATACACTTAAAACTATTTTCTTATGATAAAATATAAAAAAGCAAATAAATACAATAAAAGAACGAGGCTACTAATGAAATTTTGATTTTTTGTACCTCTCAAAATAAATCCAATATATATCCGATATTCGATCAGTTTACACGACTCTCAAACCTGTCCAACCCACCATGCCATTTTCTAACTATTTCTAATTGTAGTTCTTTCAGTAGATCAAAAATTAATCTCGTTCAAACGCTTAACAACTAGCTCGAGCCTAATACACGATATATTTCAGAATTCAAACAATTAATTTTTCATGTAATAATTCGAAGATCATTCCTACAAAGTTATTCCTACAAAGTTTTATCCAAATCAAAAATCATATAGCCAGTTGGTATTATTGTGAACAATTTTTTATTTATCGAAATTATTGTGTTTGTCTTTTTATTTGGTAACTGTTAGATAACTAAATGTTTTTTTATTCGAGTGAATTTTTCGTAGAGATCATCATTGATTCGATGATGATCTAAGAAATAAATTATGTGATTAGAGCCACATTAACTCACTAATTAGTGTTCTTGAGCAATTACGCGAATGATGTGTATTGTGATTCTCCAAATAAAGAGAAAAGAACTCACAAATTCACTATTTTGTTTTAAAATTAGATCCTCACCGTCCGTTTGATCCAACAGGCAGTAAATCTCCTCCGCATCTTCTTCTTGTGTTTTTTTTTCCTAACTCAGCTTAGAATCGAATATCAAAGTGATTATCTCATTCCCAATTTCTGACGTCGATGAACTCACAAATTCAAAGTGCACTACTTTGTCAGTGATTACTAACAAGTTCCCTGTTCTTTGAGCCCTACAATTACAAAAGGCACATAATTCCTTCACACAAACGGTAACATCTTCAAAACCCTAAGCCCTAATTCGTTCTCAGGTATGAAATTGAAGCACTCAATCATCCTCTAATCTAATGGCTTCCATTTCGACTCTCCAAGTCCTTCCCTTTCCGGTATGTTTCTGAAGCTTTTTCAATCATTGCAATAAATAATTACTATTAGTTCTATTCACTGATTTGATTCTGAATCATAGCTCTCACATTTGGTCTCAAAGCATCGAACCCCTTCCCTCCTGCTGAAGCTTAGACCCGAATTCGGGTCAAGAAATGGTGAGCTCAGCTGGGCTGGACGATTAATATCCAGTCAGAGGTTTCTATTGAGAGCCATTGACGGCTCGGTTAGCTCCTCTGCTGGCCAAGACCACAGTCTCCGTAATGATGGGGTAGTGAAGAGTAAGAACAAAAATGGTATAAATCTCAAAGACCCTGTTGGCAAATTGCACGGAATTATCAGCTCCTTCTCTCCCGTCGTCTTCTCGGTAAGATTTTCATTTTTAATATTGGGGTTTCTGTGATGGAAATGTTGGAAAAAGTACTGGGTTTCTTTTTCCAGGTTTATTTTCAGTGTCTGTACATTGGCTGGTTTATATATTTGCAATTTGCAACTGGGTTTAACTTTTTTTCTTCTTCTTTTTTTCGAATAATAATCAGATGCGGCAAAGAGAGGGATCCAATTTGGCAATTGGTTTATGTATTGCGGCTGCATTTTTGGTCATTGCTTTGAGAGTGTATGCGGTGAGGAAATCAAAGTACAATCGTCCTGGCTCTGTTGCTGATCTCGTTAGACGTGGCCAGCTTAGATCTGATAGAAGAGGCATGTATGATTCCGACCCTTTTTCTCGTTGTCTTTGTGTAGAATTGTTTAGGGCATAAGTTTGAAAACTTTCAAAAATTCTAAGTGTTTACTTACGTTTTGCCCTTTGCAAATGTTCGGTGCCCGTATTTCACAGTTCCCAGCCTCTCAAGTATGATGACCCATTCAATAATCCATTGGTTAAGGTTGGTAAAGGCAATTCAACTGTAGAGATGTGTGGAAAGGTTTATCGCCTAGCCCCAGTTACCCTTACAAAAGAGCAGCAAGCTGTCCATCAGAAAAGGAGATCACGGGCTTACCAGTGGAAGAGACCGACAATATTCCTAAAGGAAGGGGAATCAATACCTCCTGATGTTGACCCTGATACGGTTAGGTGGATTCCTGCCAATCATCCCTTTGCAACCACTGCCGGTGACATTGATGAAGACTTAGCACAAAACAATGTGTATCAGAAACATGGTGTTCCCTTTCGAATTCAAGCTGAGCATGAAGCACTGCAGAGGGTAAGCACTTGTAATACATTGCAGTTGTGAATAGAAAGGGAAAAAACCTTGCAATGATGTTCTACTTTAACAATTTCTAGCGGTTTTTATTTTTTGTAGGAGCAAAAGCTGAACAGGCTAGTGATGGACTCTAGCAATGATAGTGATTTTGTGAAAGCATTCAAGTCAGGTCCCAAGTCACCTGAGCACGGAGAAGAAAGCCCCATCAATAATCAAGCTGGTAACTCCAACCCGCCGTTGTCAGAATGTGGCCCAAATTCCTTTGGAATTATGTCGCCCGCTGAGGAAACACATGATTGAATTTAATCGTTGCTTCTATTTCTATCATTGTGGATCATCAAATTACTCAACGAGTACAACTGGGACTCCGAGTTTTACTTAGCAGGTCCAGATATCGTATTGAATTGCAACCTAAAGTTTTGAAATATGATGTAGCTACTTGAGATATCCGGTTTAAAAAGTTCAGGTTGGGCTGTATATAGAGTCATGTAGTTCCATATCTTAAATATACTGTTTGTAGATGACAATTTAATACTCCAGAATGGTGTACCCCTTACTTTATCTGATATTTTTTTTTTTACTGATTTCAGTTCTTGATTAGACTGAAATTCAGTTAGTAGTTATCGTTAAACTGAATCGAACACCTGCTTGTTGATGTTATTTACCCTGATAGTCAATGACCTTGATAAAGAGGATGGTTCTGATGGCCAGGATCAAGAGGAAACATAGACTTGAAATTAAGCAGAAGTGCAAGAAGCTAAGTGGAGTGGCAGCATCTATGTAAGAGAAATTTTATGCTTTCATGGCAAAACGAGTGACGAGAGGTTTCAGAGGGCCATGTAGATTCCTTAACTTGAAATTTATTTATTTGAATGCTTTATTTAAATAAGGACATGGGTGTAGGATGTCCCCATAGTCAATGAATCAACCATCTCTGCTAAGCTTTTTAGTATTATCTCCAAATAATCTACGTTATCATACACAATCAAAATTGAAGAATGAAGCAGTTTGAATATAAAATGCAGTACAATGAGCAAAATCCCCGTACAGAAGATGGGAGGACGCCACAAACTGCGGAACTAGCAAACCGATCAAAGCTTCCAATTACTCACTCTTGGCGGCGGCGACTTGTCTTGCACCAACAGCAAAGAATTCAGTAATGACTTCAAGGGGCATGCCTTTGGTTTCTGGAACCTTCAAGAAGATAAATATAAAAGAAATGACACAAACCACAGCATAAATACCAAAGACACCAGCTAGGCCTATTGAATCAAGCAGCACAGGTAGTGAGTAGGTGACGATAATGTCCCCAATCCAGTACACCATGGCGCAGATGGCAATGCAGAGGCCACGTACCCTTGTCGGAAAGATCTCCGAGCAGAGGATATTTGGAATTGGCCCATAGGCCATGACAAAGCAGCAGAAATAGATGATAACACAAATGGTTGATAACGCCGCATGAAGAACTGAACCCAAGGTCACAAGGTTGGCAATGATTAAGATGATGAGTGATACTACCAACACAGGAATTGTAGCCAGTAGCAGCGTCCTGCAATAAGGAATGTTTAATTAAGATTTAAACTTAAAGTTCTTCCTCTAAGACAAAAAATAAGCCAGAGTTCCAAATTAAATCTTTAGGACAGTGCACCAAGAAAAAAAGAAGGAATTAAGCCAACAGAAAGAACCTTTTAAGTTATTGAGCTCTTAAGGAGCAAGCCTTAATTTTAGCAGATTGTCAAGAATCATCCGACTGCAAAACTATTACGCTACTTCCTTTCATGAGATAGCCTTAGCCTCACATCTTACAAATGTTTAACATTTTATAAAATAGAAATTAATTCAAGAAGGTTTCATAGGACCACTATCTTAAAACATAAGGCAACTTAATGCAGACTGTCATTTGCTGACAGCCAAACCAGCTTTTCATGTAATGCCACAGCAATTGTTAAAAGTTATAGTTAAAAGATAAGACCTTGGATATGAGCAACCCTAACTGAAGAGTTTCTGGTCAGATTAAAAATAAATAAAAGTACAGAAGAATTAATCACCTTCTACCAGCGATATCCATGAGCTTTATGGCTATGGCTATACAAGGAAGCATCAACAAAGTTGTGAATGCACTTATGAGGAAGGATGAAGACGTTGTACTGAGACCCAAGTTTTCAAGAAGAACTTCAACACCTGCCTCTTCAAGAATTTGAGGAGTGTAGTACAGAACCCCATTTATGCCAGAAAACTGCACAATTATTTAAGGAACACTTTAGTTGCCGGTCAAAGAAAAAAATTTAAGGAACACTTTAGTCATTAGTTTCCCCCGAGAACACCAAAAGAGAGATATTCTAACTGAGAAGGGATTAGGAAAATGTCATAAAAAAAATTATAGATTCAGATACAAATGAAGAACAACGCATAACAAAATGGAAGTTTTACGTGCCAGACATTTTTTACATCGCTAGGACTGGCTCAGGAAACATCATGAATCACATCAAATAAACTCGATGATTGTTGTTCTCAGAAAGTTAGCCAGAAAAAAGAATCACATTTTGCCAATCCCAATGAACAAAATGTCAGATAAGATAGAAATGAGAATTTTATAAATTTTTATAAATTATAACTATTTACTACCTGCTGAAGAAGCTGGATTCCGATTCCAACGAACAATGCATGTTTAACCCCTGGTTCAAGCAGAGCAGCCCAGATTGGTCCTTTTGAAGCTGTTTCCGATGGATGAACCATTGCAGGTCCAACTGGATGCTGATCTACAAGCTCCTTCGAATATAGAGCAGGCTGACTGACCAGAGCAGCTGCCTGTATAAACTCACCTTCTGCAGGAACATCACCACCAGGAAGTGACAAAAGGGACCCATGAAGGGAGCCTGGGCCTCCCTCCTGGTGCAAATATACCCTTTTAAATCCTCCTTCCTTCTTTCCATCCCCGCCTTCTTTCTCAGACCACTGCCATGCCAATTGCCAGCCACCACCAATGCCTGTGCTACCAACTGTCTCCCCTGTTCCTTGCATGAGACTGCTGTGCCGCCTCATGCTTAGAACACTGCCATGGGAAGCAGGGGGCACTAAATCCTTTTCCAAACTTGTTGCCTGGCGTGAAATCAATGGACTATGCAGATTGTCATCTGAGTCTCCCCCTGCAGCGTCAGATGCGTAGCCCTCACCTTCTCTCTGCAAGCTCTCTTCATCCCATTGTTCAGTTTTAACCCGAGGATCTGCTGTGCTGAACATGCTCCCAAAATTAGGAAAAAGCATGCTACGGGTACTAGCAGTCTCTGGGAACTTTTCATGGACACTACCAAACAGAGTGACGAGAGGGTCCATTAGAGGCACACCCTGGTTTACCAAGCTTCCTTGGCGAGAGACAAGACTAATAAGGGAACCCTGTCCCGTGACAGGTCTGGCAACCCAGGAAAGGCCTTCCTCAGGTCCATATAACCTAATTTTGTCTTTGTCAGCTGGTTCCTGATCATCAGCGGGGCCTATTATGTACTCTTCTATAGATGTTTCACCCCCAATTCCAAGACCTTCAACCAGCAAAGCCATTTCACCTATAAACCATGATGCATTAGCAAGATTCACATGATAAATTAGTCATAGTTACAACTTACTAAATTAATCTCAAAATCTTGATCAACTTTGCATAATAAAGGGGATTAGTTACACATATTCTGAGCCCATAGATTTACACACATAGAGAAGCTTCTGCATGTCAACATTTCTGCAAATGCTTAATCTAAAATTAGAGTGTACTTGTCAAACCCCTTTGATAATCCAGACCTACTCTAGGACAATACCAACAGGTATATGACATAGTATTGATGTCAAGCAAACACATAACAATCTGAGCATTAATCTCTTTGTAGCATTAATCTCTGTGTAGCATAGAAAGCGAAAATAAAACAGTATGCTGAAGAAACAGATTCATTCAAGAAAAAATGGGATTTGATAAAAAAGAAAAGAAAAGAAGAACAAAGAACCCTTATTTTACTTATGTTATGCATAATAACCAGACCACTGTGTCGCACACTGAATAGAAAAGGTCTAAGAACATAATTCCTCCATAAGTAATGCATTTTCCTACAAGCACTAGTAATAATTTAACCAAATGTCTAAACCACTTTTTTACAAGCGAAAACTATTTCTCTAACTAAGAAAGAACATTAAACTTTAAACTGGAAACCAAAGGAAGTAGAAAAGGCAACTCCGAGTATCTTTTACCCATAACGATAATATGCAGCTTTTTGTCCTAAAATATATTAAATCTTTATCGAGTTCAGCAAATCATGCATGAATTTATGATAAGAATTTTAGCATGCACATTTCAGTGCATGAGACAATGCTTTAAGAGTTGGATCCACTGAAACAAGAGACAGATGATATGCATTTGGGAATCAGGATCTCTACATACAAACATAATATTGCAAGCAAGTAATAAGCAACAAACCAGAAACGTCTTCAGTGCCACGTAACTGCTGGAGAACCCTCTTTGCCTCAAGCATCCTGCCCTTACTCACAAGCCATCGAGGAGATTCAGGCAAGTAAAATACCGTTAATGCAAAATAGAAAATAGAGGGAATGGAAAGAACACCGAGCATCAGTCTCCAGTTTGGTGAGTTCAACAGTGACATCCCAAAAACCATACAATATGATAAAAACATGCCGCCTGAACCAAGGAACTGTGGAAGAGTATTTAATGATCCCCTTATATCTGCTGGGGCAGTTTCAGATATGTAGAGCGGGACGAGAGTAACTGCTAGACCAATTCCAAATCCATCTAATAGCCTTGCTATACATAGTACATAGACATTGGGCGACCAAACCATTACCAAGCCACTCACAAAATAAAGGACTGATGAGGCTATTAACATTGGCTTCCTACCAATCGAATCTGATATGACTCCTGAGCATGTTGTAATAGCTGTTGCGCCAATGAGTGACATGGCCACAACAAGGCCTTCTAGAGAGCTTCCTAAATCGAAATCTTCCGTTATGTAAACAATAGCCCCTGAAATCATAGAAGAAAGAACTAGATATTACTATATTAGCAGAAAATGAGAACCAGGGAAAACATGAAGTTAACAAAACAAATTGGGACAAACTCTGTGATTGAAGTTAGCTAAGCAGATAAAATTCCTGGGAAAATACAAAATTACTTTGAATCCCAATGCACACAGACTGCCAAAACAAGAGTGGAGGAGGCTTGAAATTCTAGTTCAAACATGTCTAAATTTACAACTTTAAAACAAACAGATATAGAAATCTGTACCGGCAATTGTAGCATTATCCCATCCTTGCAGAAGGTTACCAATTGTAGCAGCAATAGCCACCATCACAGCTCCCCTCATCTTTTCACCAATGAATAAATGAGACCCCCAATCTCAAACAAACCTGAAAGGAAAAAAGTACCCACATCACAAAATTAATAAATCATTCCCACTATAGAAAGACCCAGATCTAACTCACTCATAAGTAACCATTCCTCACTGCAAAAGGGCTAATGGGTCTCTGCATCTCCCTGTCCCAGAATACAACAGATCCTTTAGATTGCTTACCTCTTCAGGGGGTCAGGTGAGGCTCGGCACAGAGAGTTTGCTAAATGTAAGTTAATATGGAGCACCCACAACTGAATTTAATAAAAAGGGAACCCTTGGGAGAGAGAGAGAGAGAGAGAGAGAGAGTAACCTTGGACAACAAGAGAGCTCAGCTCACTGTAACCTCTGCTTCCAAAGCAACAACGTAAATATCTTAAAATGGGTGATGGTTGAGGACTGGCTGGCTGGCTTCTTAGGCAGAATCTTGGTATACAGACAAATACAGCCTCAAGTTTTACAATTTTACTAATATTATTTGGCAGTTTAAGATCCAGAATCCCTCAAAAACTCAATCGAGATCGAAAGTACGAGAGAGAGAAAGAAACAGAGAGAGAGAGAGAGAGAGGTTTAAGCAGCTTTTGCCAACAACCCTTCAACATCCGTCAACTGTAGTTAAGACTGAACCACTTCACTTCTCACTCACTCACAACTGAGTTTCAGTTCGGATAACTCGGAATTCTCAGATACTTGAATTTGGAACAGACCCGGATAGAAGTAGAGATGAAAATGGTTTTGAATAAATTCCCAAGAATTCATGCTCTGCAACTGCGAGTGGGGCTGGGAGTGAAAGGTTAGGTAGTAATTAATTAAATAAGAAAATTAACGGAAATAAAAAATATAAAAAAACCAGGAGAGTGCAAGCAAGAGAGCTGGACAGTGGAACCTACTAATCTCTGGAGCTCAATTCCAAACGGTCCAAACCGTATTTGCCATGCTAGAATAGACTGGTTCTTATTTTCTTTCTTTCTTTTTCTATTTGTTTTTTCTTTTAAATTATGCTTCTTTTGTTTTCATGTCAATGATTGAAACTGCCAATTTCTTAACTTGTCTTGTTCTGTGATTTATTTTTATTTTTATTTTGTCCAATTAAAATTCACCATTGCTTTTGCTTGCATAATATAACCAGATATTTTCTTTGTTTCCCAATTCCGATTTTTCTCTTTCCCTCTGATTTTCACCTTTTCATAGTAGCTACCTTTTCTCCGCTTTTGTGGATGCAGAAATCAGTCAGCACACGCAGCAAAGAAAACGAACATTTTTATTATTATTACTATTTTGTCGGAAACTTTGAAGGGAATATAAAAAGACAAAGCAACATAAAATTCGTATCGGAGAATCTCCCTACATTATTAATAACGAAAATAAAAACTAAAAATAGAGAGCTAAAATCACAACATACCACGAATTCTGTAAATCCTGTCTCGATTCTCACGAGTGATTTTTGCTTAATGAAATTTGCTAATTAAGTTCAAAATGATATTGAAAAATAGAATAATATAAATTTTTGATAAAATAGAATAGGGTTAAATACATTTTTGGTCATTGGGTTTTACATGAAAATTTAATTTGGTCAATGAGAATTTTTTTTAGCCAAATTGGTCACTATGTTTCCTAAAGTTCATAATTTATAGACATTTTGTTATCTTCCGTTAAGTGCAATTTTTAGTTTTATTTTCCTAGGAAATTTTGGGTTGAAATCAAAATTGTGAGGTATAAGGTCACATATTGGATGCTATATTGAAGCATGAATCGATTGAGTGAGAACCGTACTGTTATTGGTTGGCATGGTCTGGACTGGATTAGTTTCACTTCAAAATCGTGGTTGAATCAATTACAATAAAACGGTTTGATTTGGTTCAATTTTGAAAAAAAATCACGGAGGAAAACAAACCAAACCAATTTAAGACGGTTTTGTTCGGCCGGTTTGGGCCAAAGCCAAATTCTCTTTCTTTTTGCATTTTTTCAACATTGTTAACCCAATTACAACAACAAAAAATTCACAATTTGCTACATTTTTTTTTTTTTTCATTTTCTAGCGTATCAAGCCATCCTAAAATCAACATGCCATAAAACTTCAAATTTTAATAACAAATATAACCACGATTCAAATATCAATAACTCCAAGGGTCTATAAAATTTCAATTTCACATCATATTTAGTTATCATACAAGTAGACGGTTCAGTTCGATTTAGATAGGTTTACAAAGGTCAAAATCGAACCAAATCAAACCATATACAGTCTAGTTTAGTTTTTAAACCGTTTGACTTTTTCTTGGTCAAAACCAAACGAAACTGGTAACTACGGTTTGGATGCCCACCCTTACGTATTGTGACTTTGGATGGCAAGGAAACGTAATCAAGATAATATATATGGTGAGTTGTTGATTTCATTTTAATTTGGTTTGGCCTTTTAATATTTCTTATACCTCACAATTTCGATTTGAACTTAAGATTTCCCCCAATTTATTAAACCCTAATAGCACAATATACCCTAACTCATTGAGTTAGATGAAGAAAATTGAAGATATTTCCTATAAAAAAAACCAAAAAAAAACTGCACTTAACAGAAAACAACTGAATGTCCATAAATTGTAAACTTTGGGAAACACAATGAACAATTTGGTTAAATTTTTTTCTCAATGACCAAAATGAATTTTTGTGTAATATCCATCGACCGAAAAAGTATTTAATTCAATATAATAATATAATTGATTTCTTCATGTCAATGCCGCTTTTTCTTTTTGTCAATAATTTCATTTCAATATTAATGTACACAAATTTACACCACACTACATCAAAATATAAAACCTTTGAATAGATGCTCGGAAAAGAATATGTCTACACCTTATAAACGAAAAGTGTACTCATATCCAAGTACAACCACTTTGCAATGTAGTCATGGCCGATTCTAACTTTTGGGTGGCCCGGGATATAAATTAAAATGAGGCCCTTCTCCTTTGTATACAAGCAAGATTTAACAAGAAATAAAGAAAAAAATTCTACAAATCTTTCCAAAACTTACTCCAAAGAGGATGATACATTGCAAATCTACAAAGAAAAAATTATAGTTAAATCATGCAGTTCATAATACATATCTTTAATCACACCTTAGCTACATGTCCTTTATCTTTTTCTTTTTTTTTTGTCAATAAAGCTTCATTATGCACCCACAAAAGGCCAAAAAAACAAGAATAATAGAGCCACCAACCAAAGAAAAACATAAAATCCAGATCGCCAGTGAATAAATTTGGAGAAATTTATATGAATTTGATGTAGCATATGGTTTTTGCAATAAAGATTTTATAAATAATGTCTTCACAAACAAAATGTCTGGTATGTAATTGCAAGAACAGTAAAAAAAAATAAAAAAAATTTAAAGGATAGAAATCAGATTACCTTTAGAGAACTTACATATACCAAGATCACAAAAAAAATAAGTGGTGAATTTTTGGTTGAGAGATCAAAGAAAAAGATTGAGGAGTCCAAGAGGAGCTCGAGAAGATTTTTTTATGGAGGTACGAGCGTGGTTTGAGAGGAACGAGAAGAGAGATTACTACAAACAAAATTTTCTTCTCGTTCATCTGAGACCACGCGCGTGGTATGTTGGTTCATTGATATTAGAGGCTCTGGGCAAAAATGAAAATGAGGCCTTTTTTGTTTAACACTTACCTCATTTTGAACAAAAAATATAATAAAAAGTTTCAAACATAGATGGTAAGTAAGTTAGTTTAAGTATAAAATAAAAAAAAGGCCCATTATATGAAAAATAAAGAAAAATGCCCAAAAAAGTTCAAAATAAAGCCGAAAAAGCATTAGTTTCACATATAAAGGCCTTTTTTTTTTTGCTAGTATACTTATTGGACTGGAGGTGTGTAAGAAGCCACAATTTTTTGGGGGACCTGTGCCGTCGCCCAGCCGTGTGGGTCGGGCTTGAACTATCGTTTGTATTAAAAAAAAATCCATACCTAATCTAAAAACAAGGCTTTATTTAAGGTAGAAAGACATTTAACGACAATTTTACTCTCTTTCAAAATTACTACAAATGAAATAAATATTTTATTTATGTAAGGGTGTTTTGCGAATATGATAAGGTGTGTTGAGTACACGTTTATTTGTTTTTTTAATTTTAAATTTCACTCTTAGGAGTGTTTTCCATCTGGACTCAAACTAGTAGAATCATTTGCCCTTACGCCAATAAATGTCACGAGTTCAATTTTGTCCTCCCTTTCCTCTTAATGAATTCAAAAAATTGCAAATGAGAGTGGTGAATGTTGTGAATTTTAGATAACTTGAAAAATGGAGATTATAAAGATTAGTCTAAACACAAATTATACTCGCAAGTGCACAAGATCAATCGTAATATAATATGGCAAATATGAGGTCATTCCCACGAGGATTGAGTTCAACTTCCAATTAGTCTAACCTAATTAATTTACTTCACAAAATACTTTAACTACTCTAAGGGGGGTGTATCCAATTCTAACTTTTAATGACTTTTAATGAGTTTACAAGTCTGAAGGTATTCAATTGTGACTTTTAAATAGTCTTTAAAAGTTTAGTTGTATTCAATTGTGAGTTTTAAAGAGTATTTAAAAGTTTTGAGGTATCCAAAATGTTAATGACTTTTTAAAACTTTGTTAAATAAATGACTTTTCAATACTTTTAAAGCTAATTCTTACTACCAAAAGTCTTGCTAATTTACACCAGACTTTATAAAAGTATTGAAAAGCTAAAAAGATTGAAACAAAACGTCTCATATGCTATACTATTAGCATATCATCAAGCTATGAAGCTTCAAGTAGATTTTATTGCTGCTCAACCAATTTCTATCAGCAATCTGTAGTTCCTTTGTCTCGGGTGCATGACTTTAGCAACCGCAATCTTACAATACTTTGTGACTTTGATTTGGCATGCACTGCTTTTGATTCTGCTGCCATATTGGCTGAGATTGCAATCATAACAGCACCAAAGGCTGATATGGATGGATCTGTTCAAACCCAACTTGCTTGGATGCCATCAGCAGACTTAAGGAGCACATGGGATGTTCTTTCAACCCAATACACTGAACAATTTGAACAATGTGTAGAAAGCATTGTGGCCAGTGAGAGAGGTTTGATCAAAACTAATTATTAAGACTTGATTAGTCTAAACAAGAAATTAAACACGTAGCATACTCACGTAAACACAAAAGGGTTTGTGAAAAAATGATTTAATTACCAACGAAATTAAAAGACAAAACAAGTAGAAAGTCATGAAACACAAGAATGAGAAATTCAAATTGATAGAAGCACTAGGACAATGAATTCACCACTAGTAATCCAATCTAGCCTCTTGTTCACTTACCTATTAACTAACCATTTGATGTCGCAACTTAGTTTTCATTTTTCATGAATTACCTATGGTATTTAGGCTAACATGCAATTTGCCTATGGTATTTAGGTCAAATATCAACACATAGAAACTCATTAAGATCAGTGAAAACCTCCAACAAGCATGTAAACCCTAGGAGTATGGTATTTACCCTAGACGAATTAAAAATCCTAATCACAAGAAGCAAGCCTCAAATTAAGTATGGTATTTACTCTAATTTGCATCCGATTAACTCAATTAAAAGTCTAGATGGTGATCAAGCATCAAGGTAATCAACCAAGTTATTAAGCACAGTGATTAAGAATCCAACATCAAACAGCAATCAATAAATAAGTAAAATAAGAAAACTAGATTATCATACTAGGTCTACATAGGGCAAAAGAAAATTAGTTACACATAATCATAGAATTCGACATAAACAAAAACATAAGGAAGAAACAATAAAACTTAGTCAATTGCGGTACTCTTCTGACGTCTCCAATTTCTCCTAGACTTTGCGTGTGTAACCCTCAAAGGAGTTGTTTCTCATGCTTAAATAAAACACCACACGTCTGTTCCTACCCTAACTAGGCTTTT